GGTTGGTATAATCTATGCTGTTGGTGGTGTGTTTCTACTCGATGATAAAGTTGGTGAAAAACTGGGAGATGATTCGTTATTCGTATTAATTCGTTTAGATCTTTTCTTTTCGGGAAAGTATTCAGTAATCTGTGGAGTTGATTTTGACCTTTTTTTGTCTGTTGTTTTCGAAAATAGTGGTTGTATATGCTGAAGATATTTTTCACCTCTAGATCCTTTTATCTGTTGTTCAGGATCGTAATCTCTCTTATGAGCATTCGAAATTTCTAACATTTGCTTGTAGATTTTTCGATCTTTATCATTAATGACGATAGTCTCACTGTCGGGATTTTTACTGAAAAGTAATGTATAAAGTCCTTCAGTGGCAGGAAATAGTTGATTATTTATTTGAAAATCTCCATTATCGGTAATGTTTAATGTTATATTCCCTAAATGAAATTTATTCGTTTCCAGATCGTATCTTGGCCCATAAACTTCATCATTTTCTTCATTTAATACTTTAATAATAGATGGTTTTGATATATCTGGAAATTGACTAAGAAAATCTTCAAAGACTTCTGGTTGTTTAATATCTGAGAGATTTAATTTTGATGCTGTTTCATACTCAGTTTTCATCTCTTCTTCTTCAGGTTTATATTCAAACACTTCTTCGTCCTCTTCGACATCTTTTTCAAAATTTTCATCAAGAGTTTCTTCATCGTCTTGCTGTCGATGCAGTTGTTCGTCATCGTTCATCATGACAGAATCATCTGTTTCTCTTTCTTCATCGTTTTTTGCTCTATTATTGCTGGATTCTAACGGTTGGTTTATTGATCTGGACGGTAAAAACGAAAATTCCACTACTCGTTGATTTTGGTTGCGACCATAAGTTTTTACTCTTTTACTCGTAGATGGAGTCGATAGCTCTCGTGCTTCGTTATCCCTTTCAACAATTCCTAGTTTTTGTGGTTGTTGTTGGTGTTTATACGTATCATCAATTTTTGTGGAAATTTCCTTAAGAGGACTAAGAACTGGTGTAAATAATTTGCTTAATGCAGCATCTTGTTCTTTCATGCCTAGCGTTAAAGCTTTATACTTTTTTCTAATAGCATCCGACACTTTAATAATCCGACGTTTAATACGATCACTTCGAACACTGGAAATAGGTTTATCCATATTGAACGTTCAATATAAACTGCAACAATCCCTTCCTTCTCCAGTATTTTATACTGAACCTATAACAGGAAACTTCTGCATCTGTTTTTAGAAACTGTACTGATGCTGTTTCGGAAAAACAGATCTTTTTTCCAAAACATTAGGTGCTGTTATCGCATCTCACTTGTTTATTGAATAATGTACTGATCAAATCCTTTGCGGTATCGACCACTGTTTAGATCAGAATCTTTATCTATAACCAGAAATCCATATTTGGCCTTCCAACAGATAGTGCATACGTTTTTAAACTCTTGAAAAGTCATATCGGTACCTACGTGATCTTCATAGACGTGTTTCAAATTTCTTTCGTCCTGTTTTAACAACACTAATAAATTTGCATTATCTCTTATTAAGTGTTTAGGGATCCTCGTATAAGTCTGACACAAATAAAAACAATCGATGTTCTTATGACGTCCCATAGAAAAATATCTTCTGATATTATCCTGCTTATCACAAGTGACATCATCAAATATCATAACTGAATTCGATTTTGCATCTTTGGGGTTAATGACTTGTTCGTTATCTTCATACTGGTAATATCCAATTCCTTTCACTCTTTCTAACACTTCTTGTAGTAATTTATATTTGGGTTGATAGAGGGACTTACAGTAGATATACACATTTGTAAATTTTACTCCGTTCGGATCAAATAATAATGATAGTAGTATATTTGTTTTTCCACTTCCAGAAGGTCCGCAAATGATAGATCGTATCGATTGAGGAAACAAAACACCATGTTTTTGTCGATGTATATGATGACTTAGGCTCTTATATTCTTCATTGTCATCATCATGATTTCTAATCTCTAAACACGTACCTTGTCTTATGATGCGCATTGCACTAATGAGTATTAATTTTGAAATTTAAAATATATATATATGCTTCCTCAGTAGCAATTTTAATTCAGTTTTATGTTGTTTGTTGAAGGAAGAGGTTTACTCTGCTTCGCAACTAACAAGCAATCGTTCAAACTATATATAGTCAAACAATCGCTAGTGATTTGGTGCTAGACAACAAGTGATTGAAAAAGTAGCTAACGAATTATAGTGACAAAAAAGAAGCAAAAAAAAAAACTATCGACATGAGTCCTACTTCACTATCAAGAAGAAAAAAATCTAAACTAACTTTTCATCGAGCTGTTTTGAGCCCATCAATACAAAAAAACAGTCGTGAGGGTATCAACACTATACAAAACGCACTAAAAACCGCTCGATTAGCAATAAAAAAAGCAGGAGGTCGGAATCGAATTAAAATACCCCGTGTCCTTCCAATTAAACAGGGAGGATTTTTACCACTTCTACCGTTGATATTTGGAGGATTATCAGCCCTTGGTGCCTTGTCTGGAGGTGCAGCTGGTATAGCCAAAGCGGTAAACGATGCAAAACAAGCGAAACAAAAATTGGACGAAGAACAACGTCATAACAAAACAATGGAAGCTATAGCAATAGGAAAACAAGGAAGCGGATTATTTTTACGAAAACGTAAAGACGGTTACGGTTTATTTTTGGAAAACGTCTCAAAAAACTTTTACTAGAACTACCCAAAAGACCTTTATCGGATGAGGATGTAAGAAAATATGCTTCGTTATCAAAAATTTCTAATTTTAGAGGTGTATTTATGAGAAATTCATTACCACCAGCCGGGCCTAGAAACTATGAAAAAGCCATAGTTAATTTGGATTTGTCGCTTGGTCCAGGCACTCACTGGGTAGCTTATAAAAAATTTGGAAAAAATGTCTATTATTTTGACAGTTACGGTAATTTGAAACCACCACCAGAACTAATAGAATATTTTAAAAATTGTAAAATATACTTTAATCATAAAAGATTTCAAAAATTAAAATATAATTGTGGACATTTGTGTTTACAATTTTTGTCTAGTAAAATAAAATTGGTATAAAGTAACCTGACCGACATTTTTCTACCTCAGTCTTCATCATGCATACGACGTTTTCACTTGTCGGTAATACAAGTAGACTAAGTGCTACGTATAATCCTGTTATTGAACTTGACCCACACTACGAATACTCATTGGCTCTTATAGGATTTCTAACCACGAATAATATTCCAAATATCGAGGAAGGAACAAACAAGTTTCATTATTTTAAAGAAGGTGATAGTAAGGAAAGAGAGATCATTTTCCCTAAGGGAGCTTACGAGATAGATGCAATAGAACAGTATATTCAGAATTTTCTCTGCCCAGAATGTACCAGTGACAAAGAACGATCAAAAATTTTTTCTCTGAAACCTAACCTTAATACTTTAAAGTGTGAATTGAAGAGTAAATATGGAGTTAATTTCAGCCACAATGACAGTATAGGCAAAAGACTTGGATACTCAAGTAGAAAGCTACCTGCAAATACTTTACACGAAAGCGATTTACCTGTAAATATTATAAAAGTGAGCACGATTCGAGTGGAATGTAATATAGTTACAGGATCCTATTATCAAAGTAAAAGATCACATACCATCTACGAAACCGCTATTACTGTCAATCCAGGAGAGCAAATTTTCATTGAGCCAACAAATCAAATATATTTACCGCTCACTAATAAATCTTTCATTAGCAATATAACTCTCGACATAGTCGATCAAGACAATAATTTTATTGATTTTAACGGTCAAGAAATTGTGGTGAGACTAGCGTTAAAATCTCAAAAGAAGTAATTATGGGATTAGTATACAACATTCTTAAAAGAAGAGGATTTTCACATTATACTTCAGTATCGCAGCAGTCACCACTCCAAGCACTTCCAGAAGAAGAAGAAGCATCATTAGTGTCTTCACAACATCAATTGTCGTCTCAAAGTGTAAATATTCTCAAGTCTTTAGGATATCATGTCAGAAAAACTTCAAATATTCGACCGACCTCAAGTAGATCACAGTATAATTAAAGAAGAAGAACATACGTACAACCCTGAAGTGCGTACATTTAATAATAATGATGACATTGACATCATTATAAATCAAGAAGATCTTATGATACCATTATCCGAGTGTTACCTTGACATTGACGGAGAATTTAACTCTGATGATCTTTTGCCTAATAATATACCAGCTTTAAATGGAGATATTTATTTAACAAATAACGCTGGAGCGTTTTTATTTGAAAGCATAAGCTATGAACTCAACAATAAAGAAGTTGATGTAGTACGAGATGTGGGCTTATTATCAACAGTTAAAACATTCTTGTGTTACGGTGAAGATGAATCAAAAGAATTGGGAGGAGCAGGATGGAATATGGATGGTAATGGTATTAAACCATATAACGTTAGAGATAAAACATTTTCATTGAGAATACCTTTATCGATTCTGCTAAATTTACCTTACGATTATCGTCGTATAATTACTGGAAAACATAAACTAAGATTAGTGCGTAGTAGATCTGATGATAATTGCTATATGAGCACAGGTACTAGGAGAGCAACAATGAATATAAAAAATATTACCTTAATAGCAAAACATGTCTTTCCGAACGATGATATTAAACTCCAGATGTTAAATAAAATCAACACAAGTAAATCTATATTGGTACCATTTAGAAAGTGGGATATTCATGAATTGCCCATTCTGCCAAGATCTAAAAACGAAGTGTGGAAAGTGAAAACTCTGCAAAGTGTACACACACCTCTTTATTGTATAGTATTTTTTCAAACTAATAGAAAGAATAACCCCCTAGCCGATGCTACCAAATTCGACAATATCGATATGAGAAGCATACGTCTACACTTAAATTCGAGTATATATCCATACGAATCTTGGAAATTAGATTTTAGAAAAACTCGTTACAGAGAAGCATATCAAGCATATTGCGATTTTTATAAACAATTCAACGATCAAGATAGAGCAAAACCGATATTGAAATATGACGATTTTAAAACTCGTTCAATATTCGTTTTAGACTGCTCAAAGCACCCCGAACCTATTCGTTATTCAACTGTAGATGTATCACTTCAATTTGAGTCGGACTATGAGTTTCCTCAAGATACAAAAGCCTACGTAATTATCATACACGATGCTATCGTAGAGTACACACCAATGCTAAAAACCACAAGAGATCTTATTTAACATTGAACGTGTGGAATCGTTCACAACCGAAAAAGGATTTCCTATTGATAACCTCTAGAGCAAACTGCATCATCATTCACAATAAAATTTTAAAGTATCGAGCTGCTAAGCGGTTTAATTCGTCCATTATCACTCTAGAACACCGTTTTTAGCGTTCTTCATTAATGCTTATCGAAAAAACGGAAACATGTGGTTTTATACTGGAAACAGATTTCTTGTTGATTTCCTCGATAGACAACGCATGCGAACAAATTTAGTAGTAGTAGTTGTTGTTGTCATGATGTCTGGCTGGTGTGTTGTTTACTCTTCGCAGTTTTGTTGTGAGGAAGCGAAAAGATTCTCCGTAAATCGATTAGAGAATCAAGTTCACCATTCGCTTCATGATTTTCTACAACGCTACCCACATGAAGACTCTACTCTACTCAAAAATTATCTTTATCAACGAATCGTGAAAGTGTATGAAGATCTTTCGATATTGTGCAATAAATATTTAAATAGACAGTTCTCATTTCGTTCGTTCTGTGTGGAGCTTAAAGAATTGAAACGAGCCTTGGATAGTGTAAAAGAATATATTCCAACAAAATGCTATATTACCTGGTCATTTCGTACAAAATGTGAAAAGCATATGTAGAAGAAAAAATCTTAGCCGGTCTCCGAGTTAACGAAGAGACGAATTGTAAGTTTACATTTTTTATAAAATCAATCTAAAACCGATCATTTTAGTTTGAACATTTTTTATTATCTTCGCCCGGAAATGTGAGGTTTCATAACGGACATACATTTGTAAGCGAATCGCAAGACCCTTTTATTTTAAAGGAAAAAAGGTAATTATTAATACAAACTAAAATCTTTACAAATACTTATTCATTCTAGTTTTAACCCTCCGAAAATACATTTAATGGTGAAATGGTCCTTCGCTTATCACCAATTGAGATGTGATGCTATTTGGCAACAGTACGCTAAAGATGGTGAACGATTTCGAAGACGGATACGACAAGTAGAATCCATCTATTTAGAACCTAAATTACAAGTTTCGCAACGAAAGAAAATACATGAAGATCGATTTACGACTCTACAAGAAGAAGAAGACTCCAAAAGTATGGAAGTTGATTATGAATATTATTAAAAATTATATTAATTCTGCTTATTAGTTTTTTTGTTTCTGTTGTAGTTTTCGTTTTCGCTTTCATTTTATATTATTTTTTATTTTTTAAAATGAATTATGTAAAATGTGTTCATTAGTTAATTAGACATTAGTTTTGTACTCTATGGTTTATTTTTGCTTTTATATTTTATGTTAATTAGATTTAAGATTTGTTTATAATGGATAGTTTAATTTTTTTCAAATGTATTGTAAGTTTATAAATATATCATTGTTTAAAATTTTTTGTTTTTGTTACTACTATTTTTCGATTATCATTTTGAATGAAAAGTGAGGTTAGATTTAGAGGGGCTTCATCCAGGAGCGTGCACCTCATCTTAAGACGTAAGGGAATTTTATTTTAAATTACCCGCCAATTTTTAAACACATGGCCCGATCAGAGGCCTGCGCCCTATCTTGAGACGTAGGGGCCCTCATCTTAAGGCGTAGGGGGCCCCCGGATCTTAAGACACTGGTGTTTGGAGTACAGAACTCCGACCCCCCGACGTAGGGAAATTTTATTTTATGTTACTACTATTTAACGATAATAATTTTAAATAAAAAGTGAGGTTAGATTTAAAGGTCTACATCTTAAGACAGTAGGGTTAAGAGCCCAGAGAGTTTTTGAGTTTAAATTACCCCGCCAAATTTAAAAACGTTAGAAGCCGGCGCCCCCAATTTAAGTCGTATAAGATCGAGGTCAGGCCCCCAGACACCAAAGTTATACGCAAGGGGCCCAGCCCCAGTATTAAGGCTTAGGGGGATTTTATTTTTAATTACCAGTGTCCGGGGGCCCCCGAACAAGCAAGTTAGACAACCAACAATACGACAGGCCAGCGTTATCATCAGTTCGAGATTATTCCTATAATAATTTCGTACGAAAAGTGAGGTTAGATTTTAAGAGATTAGGGTTAGGAGCCCCAATTTTCAAACGTCAGGAGCCCGCGCCCCCAAATTTAAAACGTCAGGAGCCCGCGTCCCCAGATTTAACTCGCATAAGACCGCAGTCAGAACCCCACACACCAAAGCAAGGGGGCCCGAGCCAGGGGGATTTCATTTCAGGAGGCGCCGGCGCCGCCGCCCCCCGAACATTAGACAACCAACAATACGACAGGCCAGGCCAGCGTTATCATCAGTTCGAGATTATTCCTACTGTTCAGCGTCGGGCGTGATGGACGTGTGATACAAGCGACTCTACAGCACGGCGGGACCGATGGGTTCGAATCCATCGTGAGGCAACTGTGCTTTTTTTCACACACAAAAATTCCCGCGCGAAAAGAGACATCTACCGGAACATTCACCAAAGACGCAAACCATAGCAAAGACGCAAACCATAGCAGCGCCGCAGCAAAGACACAAACCGATCGCAGCGCCACCACACGGGAACGACCACTGCGCATCGCTTCTGCGCACCGCGTCACTCATCTTTTTACCCTACTGTTGTCAGCAAGAAAGTCGTTCTGAAAATAATAAAGACAATAGGTCCAAGAACTGAGCCTTGGAAAACACCAACAATTACCGGCTTCAGTTAAGACAATTACTTGAAAGCAGTGACTCCAGGCGATCAACATCCGTGCCTCAGATTCTATAGTATAGTTCTATATAATTTACTTATCAATAAGTAAATTATAATTAATACTATTCAACGCGTTGGATTGATCAAACAGTGTCGCAGAAGTAGATTCACCTTTTTCAGAGCCAGTGAAAATAACGTCTACCATATTTGGTGCTGCAAGAGTTGTAGATTTATTTTCCTGTGTCTATCTGTAAGAACTTTATTTTCGTTAAAAAAATCCAAGTGGGTATTTGATCGATTTTCAATTATTTTCGGCATTCTTTTGTTTTTTTACATCATTTCAAAAACCACGTATTTCGTGGAGTAAAAATAAAACAAAGATATTTTTAATGACAATGACAAAAAGTAGAGGTTTCAAAGATTAGTGATTGAACTCTTCGCCGGGACTTTGTAGTAACTCTAAGCCCCAAGTTGCAAAACGCTCAGTGAGTACCTTGCAGTTGCATTTCAAACGTTTCTAAAATTCACCCTTAGCAGCATTAAAAATGTCGCAAGCTCATTATTTTATGTAAATTTCAATATCCACATGACATTCTTTGTGCACTTACATACGTATCTGTCAGTTGTAACCTTATTTATGGTCTAATGTAATTGTTGTTGTCCCTGCACGTAAATGAACACTTGTGTAGTTATTTATCCGAGAGTAATTTCAGGTGCACCGTCATGACAAGAGCTTCATTGTTGCCATTGCAGCTTCTTAATATTATTACATGCCATTTCAGCAGAAATGTAAACAGCGCGGGCGTGTGTCGGCAGTCGGCGCAGCCCCCGTTCAAATTGATAAATTAGCTGTAGCGGAACTGCTAACAAGCTATTTGTCTTCTCATCAGCGGTTCATTATTAGAACGTTAACCAGCTTTGTAAAAAATAATTATAACCGACTCTGAACTGAAGAAGGGATGATTGATGTCGATCCGTGGGCCAATTAGTGACGATTTGAATTTTCACAGAAGGGCATAACTACAAAACGAAAATAAATCATGGAAATGTTTGCATGCGCACCTGCTGCTTGTAATTAAAACGAGTCTTGTCTTGATGTTAGAAAATGACAAATAATAAATCGTGTATTTCTAACGACAATATATAACACGACGTAATCGCCGGACATTAATTACCTCTAAACGATTACCGCTTTGACAAAAATCCGCGTCTAATAAATCGCTTGTAGATTAATTCCCGTTTTAGCGGGCTTTATCGTATATATAAATTAATTTATGTTTATTTAAAAGTTGCATATTGACAGGGATGTAATTGCTTTTAATCATCGACACGACTTGTTAAGTTAAAAAGGTAAGTGGCTGCAAATATTTGCAGCCTGTTTTCAAGTCCGAGCCATAAAGCATCGCGGTGGTTAGTGAAAGCATACATTGATTAGGTTATTTATATGCATGCTTGCTGATTATACCAACTAATGGAAAGATAAGTGTCTGTTTTTCAAGCTATCGGGACGATTCATTTCTGCCGATTTGTTGGTTAATTATATTTTGTCAATTTGCCACAACGGTTTCCCTAAATGAGGCTATAAATTTTCGTGCTACCATGTAGGTACTGTTTTTTATTTATTTGATTATTTATTTCTTTCCAGGTTCACCCCCAACACTCTTCTCGAAAATACGCCAATGTTGAGAGCCGTCATCGACTTGACAAACACAAACCGTTACTATAACTCTGAGGTAATTTTCCAAGCACGCTTTCCACCAAATTTATCTAGAGTAATAATTAATCCTTGTTTTAATGTTATGTAATCTAAACCGTCACTCAATTTGTTCATTCTAAAGATATCACTGAAGTCTACTTTTTAAAGGTTTTCTTCAGGAATGGTAACAGCTTATCTATATGATGAAATAATAATGAAGTTACTCAATTTTATTCTACTGAAATATTTAAGCCTGCTCTTAAGAAATATGTGGAGTATTAATGTTTGGAGAAGCTCACAATTCACTTTGTGTCTAAGTAATACAACAGGTTCGACATAACTTTTTTTGGAGTCACATTTTCAGAAATCGAGACATAAAATTTTTTTCATTGTTTATCACTACGATAATAATGTAGGTGTTGCTATTTATTATTATTACAATTGTGTTACCAATTTAGAAGATCATTGGTGTCGATACAACATCATTACTGGGACTATTACAGTCGGTAAAAAATACACACTCTCAGACGTCCCATCTTCAAAGATTTCACTGTTACTAAAGATATGATTTTGTGATATCTTAATTGATATTCTCAGACTTTTAAAGATATCACAGGACATTACATTAGTAGATACATTAAGTCTAAGTAGTCAAATGACTTGTATTTATTACTTAAAAATAGTGCGAAGTCTTCATGTTATCGCTAGTCCTAATGAGTTTTAGTTGTAAAATTAATCACAATGGCTATAAACATATTCACAGTAGTTTCACAAAATTCATTCATACTTTCGTTTTTACGGGTTTGTTATTTACATTAACAACATTTTTTGATAATGTGTTAGCTTCCATTCCAAATTTAATGTCTTCGTTTTTGTTTTCTTCAATTCCGTAAAATAATGGATATGTATTTCTTGTTAATTACCTTTATTTTAAATTTTGTTGTTCGTTTAGAAAAGTGACGATTTTTCATGAATGGAAATACCAGTGCAAGATTTTCAAAAGATCAGTAGATTCGACAATGCGTCTTTTTTTTTGGGAACGTAGATGTACGTTCGTTGTCATCTGTCACATCTGTCGTCTGATTTTCTTAGTTGTTGTTCCTACTGAACTCAGCAACAGTCTTGGTAACACATTAATAAGATTTTTTTTATATCAAGTTCCTGGTTTTAATTCGATAAACATTAATATGTAATCTGGAGGTGTTCGTGGTGTTCCTATTTATGTAATACACCGTGTATGTCGCTACACAAAAATTTAACTGCGCACATCAATTTGAAATTGAATTTAGCTGACATCATCAGCTGTTTTTATGAAAAATATTTCATCGGTTGATATTAATTTTGTGTTTAAATCATTTTGGTTTTTATCGACTGTCATGACTTCATTTATTGCCATGACGTTAACAATAATTGTGTTTCTATAAATTGAAACAAGAAATACATATTTTTCCGAAAATTTAAATAAATAAGTGTTTTTTTTAATACATAGGTCTAGTTGACAGCATCTTTCAATTGTTCTCAGTCTTTGTTTCCACCTAATGAATAATTCCTCCCAAGTCAGGTTCTTGTCTCTGCGCCGAACTCATCCCTGCTCTTCGTACAGAATCGGCTTTCATCTGTTTCAGACACATGAGATAGAACTAATTGGTTTATAGCTTGTATTCGGGTGATATTTTTATTTGTAATCTTTCGTATATGCATATTCATAAGCAATTAACGAAATCGAATACCGCTCACTCTCCTTATTCAGCATTTGGATTTGGTCTCTTGCGGTAGATAATTTAAACTTTCTGTACTGAGTGCTTTTGTTACAGACGTCGAACCTGTCACAGTATTAAGATTAAAACTCGACTCTTGTCTGTATCAGTCAGATTGAATCAGGTTTTAATTAGATTTCAATTAGCGTGTCAATAGTAGTTAAAACGAAACGATTTTATTTGCAGGAATTCACCAACAAGGGCGTTTTGTACAAAAAAATCAACATCTTCGGAGGCGGCAGAGTTCCCCCTAGGAAAGTTCGCGATGAGTAAGTCAAATCCGAATCGTATTTTTAAACTTGTCTTCTGTCTCTGCATATTACATTTACGGGCCACAGACTTTTAGTCGGTGATAGATAGGTGTTTCAGAGTCACTTCCGACAAACAATGTCGTTGAGCAGACTACATGGGACTATTTGGATTTTTATTGTCGTCTCGGAGTGTTGGAAGTTGAAATCGCCGCATAAGCAATCTAACTGCTATTTATCTCAATGAACACTACTAGCTTTTATGCGCGATTGATAACATATAGCGACGAACGAAGGCGTTATTTAATTACTATCTGAACGGCGTTCCGACGAAAAAAGCCGACGAAAAAATGGAAAAATGCAAGCAACCTTAACAAGGCTGAAAAATGTGATGCCTGTTCGATAAAGTCATGCATATTATAAGTATTAATTACCTGGACAATAAAAATAGGCTTGTGTACCATAGGCGATAAATTAAGTATCAGGTTACAACTATAATTAATTGTTTACATGACAGTTAAATGATTTTAGTAAATATTATGATCTCATTGGAATAACCAGATGAATTAAGAAAAGCTTTTGATGTCAGAAGTTGTCATTTAGTGGGGGCAGTAGAAAACTCGTTTGGAATAAATAAATAAATTATTTACTTAGAATTATATTGTATAGGATAATTAATTATCACCGATTTAATGCTCGTGGAGGATGTACTGACTGTAGCAGACAATATTTGGCTTTGATTGATTTGTCAAATATCTTGGTAAACATACGTTAAGATTTACATCAAAACAAGACGTAAGTAAAAGCTTTTTATATTATCTCAATTTATCTAGTCACTTATTTTTATTCATAAAAAGTTCTCAAGGTAAAGTAATTGTAAGAAGTGTAAATGTTGTTAATGTAGCAATAATAGAACATTACTCGATGGTCCATACAAAAGACATTAAAATTAGGGATGACACTTTAAATGACTAAATTAGAGTAAAGATTGGATCGTTGATTGATCGTCAGCCGAAATTTTTAGTTTAACTTTTGATTAATCGATTTCGTCGTTGATTTTTTGAATAATGTTTTCTTAAGATGTTCGCCAGGTCTGTATGTGCTGAAGAAAATGACTTCGATAAGTCCGCTTTTGATATGTAAAACTGATGTTAATGGGATGGAAAATTAATGTAAAATGCTGTGGTTACACAAACTTAAGTAACTCGAAATCCTTGATATCTTGAACTATGTATTTTCGTGGAAGCGTATTTCCAGACATATAATTTTCATATTAAATATAACAAGCAGTTTGATTTTTTTTCTGTCAAAACTTGTGGACAAATAATCGAATGGTGCGTGAAAATAAAGTTTGAAGAATCGACACACGTGGAAAAATTAGTTTGTATTCCAAAATTTGCTTTTAGCCTCATATTTGTAAAATATTTTTGTGTTTTAATTTTATGACCATAGTTTTTTTTGATATCTCAGTTGATTTTGTGCACGTCTAAATTATAACTCTTCTAACTTGTTGCGAGAGGTAATAATATGTAATCGTTAGCGGAGAGATCTTGCAGATACTAGTGATTTTCTTCAAGAAACACTTTCATTCCACCTCTAGCGCTGTAGAAATTGATATCGTACCGATGTTATTAGATAGCACTTTCAGTTAAAGATGAAATTATTGAACGCCGCCTAATCATCGATTATGATTTATAATAGACATTCAATTATTATAACCGTAACTTCTTCACACTAAATCATCGATGTCAGATTATGGATTGGCGCAACCATAAAATTCACTCGGAGGGTTTTCTAACCGGTGATATTCCTCCTTGTCGGTACATGGACTTCAGGATTCGGTTATCATATAATTTACAACTTAAAAGGCATTTACTTACCCATACATAGACATACAGCATCTGATGTTCCCATTTACATAATGCTATCATTACCACCTTGCAGCACCTCGTTCACTCGAACAACCTATTAACATATGGTCATAATGTGTCTTGAACACAATGTACCCGAAACACACCCTCGTTTCAGTGTTCTATCAACTCTCCCTATTCCATTATTTATTTTTCAATGGAATTTATTATTACCTTGTGGAGAAATCATGCGTTTCGTGAATAAATTAGCAGGCACGTATCAAAAGCGACATTTTTATCGTCCCTTTATCTGGATGCAACGGTTTTCTGGTACATTTTTGTACCTACAAGCAATTTGAATATATTGCTTCGTAGCGGGACGTTTGCACGAAATTACGCTGTTTACATGCGTATGTAAATGCTCGGCTTTGCATGTTATACAGCACTAGTCTCGTAATTAGTATTTTCCACAAGATAGCTAATGAATCTTGACGGTTATGACATTTCTATAGGTATAACGTCTACTCATTTATTGTAAAGCTATTTGTTACACGGTGATAAAACACACACTCACGTCGCTAACATTGCTCGCATTTTATAATTTTTTGCTCGTATTTGTTTCCAATTTTCAATTTTTGTGTTAATTTGATTTTGATATCTATCCACTGCATTTTTTAGTCGAGAGCAGCTAGTTATGATTTTTACTGTCCGAACGTAAGCTAGAACGAAAGTGAAAATGTCAGTCAGACGATCACTCGTTTCCGGGTGTCTGTCGCCTGCCGGCGTTTTACTGAATGCTTTCAATTCCCTCTGTTCTGTCTGTTGATACACAAAAGTTTTTCTTTGTACAAATTTATTGTAATTTGTTTACCCAACTACATGTTAAAAATAGATGATGATGATGATGTGGTGTCATATCATTATGAGACAATAAATCATTTTTTAACACTGAACATTTTTAGGATGAACATTAATTACAAACAAGAATTTAAGCGGAGGCTATGTTTAGTCCGTTTTTTCTTAATTAAACCAAATTATATGCACCATGTCCATAAAACGATGAATAAATTCTATAAAAATCAGGAATATAATTTTAGAAACATGTTTTGACCATGGGTCATATGTAAAACATAACTCAATTTTATAAAACCGGTGAAAAGATTTTTGGAAATTAGGTGGTTGTCTGTTTGAAGGGAAAATATATAAAACTAAAGTTTTACTACATTATTTTTCCAAAAACCAAAGCGTTATAATGTGTAGAAGCACTGAACTTTAGTTCTACGAAAAGAACTTTCTTATATTTTCTCGACGTTTCATGACTTCTACAATATGAAAAGTCGGTCTCCTGTTTCCTCCTGTCTGTCGTCTGTCTGTTAACTGACGATTTTATTAGACACGTAAGTAACCTTTAAAAATTACTGTATTTTGAGGTTACATTTTGGGTGTACTTTAGGACCATTATATAGACAGTACATCGTCAACCAAGATTGGTTTACTCATTATCACCAGCAATTTGATGACGTCATTTCAAAATTTTGCTAGGTAAATTCTGTTTAAATATCTTTATGATTTGTTAATACGTCAATATTTTTTTATTGTATACAATCTTCAAAATGGTGATTATTTTTAATCACATTTTTAGACCTCAGTCAGGAAGGCAAATGATTGTATAAGATTCGAATATTGCCACTAAGGTAATACTGTCCTTTTAAATAGAATTCAAGTAGTTACCGTTGATCGTGTATGATCTAATAAAAAAGAGATTTCATATGGTCTAAAACTCATACTTTCTATGTTAATGCTTGTGAACTTGCTTTTGATATAATAGTTGTAACTGAGTCATGGTTGAATGATTCTGTTAAAAATGCTGAAGTATTTCCTTCTAATTATAATGTAGTAAGATGCGACAGAAAATTTGACACTGTGGCTCGTACTATGGGTGGTGGTGTGGTTGCTGGTTTAATTAATAAAATAGCCTATCAAATAATTGACACTGCAGCTATTGGAAACTTAGTTCCACTAATTGATTTTATTATTTGTAAATGTCAGTGCAGCTCACATATTTTGTTTTTAGTAGCATGTTACATTCCACCTCAGGTCTCTCTTGCGGACTATGAATTATTTTTTGAAGCTGTTGAGGTTCTTCTGGTAGGCCAATCTATTTTGTTGGTTGGTGATTTTAACTTACCCCATTTTAATAATTTGCATACAAATTGTCGTAAAGTAAGATCACTCCGAAGTTTTTGTGACTCACTTCAACTACATCAACATAATAGCATTCGTAATTTGAACAATGAACGACTAGATTTAGTCTTTTCAAATCTTCAGAAAATTGTTGTAAGCCGAGAACTACACCCCTTTGTTAAAGAAGATTCTTATCACCCGGCCTTGTCACTATACGTTGCATATCCGTCTAAGTCAAATGCATCGTTCTTTCCCTCTGCAAAAACCACAAGGTATAACTTCCGTAAAGCCAATTTCTTATATTTATATGATGACCTCCTTAGTATTGACTGGACTTTTCTGGAAAAATGTCTTGACGTCGATGATGCGCTTGACACATTCTATGATCATCTATATAACATTTTGAATTGTTCCGTGCCTCAGTATGCCACCTGTAGTCACAAAGCTTCTTATCCACCATGGTTTACACCAAGTATTATCTCTAAGCTAAAAGCTAAAGACTACTATAGAAAAAAGTGGTTATCATCAAATGTAGACTCATTCTTCGAAGAATATAAAAGACTTCGGGCACTTTGTAAAAGACAAATATCGCTTTCTTATCGAGATTATATAATAAAGGTTGAAAACTCAGTTCGTAATAACCCCCGCGAAATTTTTAAATATCTTCAGTTAAAGCAAGGTATACTACAAGAATACCCGGTAAAATGTATCAAGATGACGTATCGTTTGAAACTCCTGAAGAAATAGTGAATGGCTTTGCACAAGTTTTCTCAAGTATATATCACCCTGCCTCAAATGTGACTCCCAATGACAATTCCAATCTTCCATCTTTTAAACTTATGTGTGTGTCTGACCAGGAAGTCGTGAAAGTTATGGCATCTTTTCCTATTAAACATACCGCGGGAGATGATCAAATTCCCAGTTTTTTGATCCACGACGCAAGATATGCTTTAGCGACACCATTGACAATAATCATCAATAAAGCTA